AGAACTTTTAGCATCATTGTTATAGTTTGGGTTATTTCTTGACTAGGTGAGAACTCTTGGCAAATAAATGAAGTATTCAGAAGACAAAATGAGGTAGTTATTTCAGTAAAATTATAATCTCATGCAGGGCAGTCTGGTAGTGGTGCTGCTTGCCAGCATTGTCAAATATGTGAAGCAGTTATCAATAATTTATCACTTAAGTTCGCTTCATATGACTGAACTACTGCTGTATTTCAGATGATAAGGACACGAATCTTGAATTGTGCCAGCTTTGAAGTGCTTATGATGCAAACAGGAATAGAATTTTAAAACTGCCTTTGTAATAGACAATTGAATTATTTTAACAGTTGAGATTACAGTATATCGGTTAAGTTAGCTATCCATTTAAGATGGGGACAGGCTTCACATGTATAAGTCTTTTTTGGAGGGGGGCGTCATTGATCTTCCCCATCAGTGATTTGAGATGCCATCTCACTGGGCCATGTCAAATATAGCATGCTAGGATATTGAAGGTTAGGTGACCTAACATTTCTGGTTTGATGGTAGTTTTTGGAATTAATGTGACAAGCTTCCTTTACTATACAGTTTTCCCCCTTATCTTGCATCTGTCTCCTCAGAATATGCTATGGGTAGTTTCCTAAGATTTTTTGCTAGCCAAATGAACATTTGTGGCAGCCAGGACCCTATTCCTCCCCTGCAGTGCAATCCTTGGAACATTTGCTATGCTTAGATGCAGTTATAGCATAGGATTGGGTTCTTGCTCCCAACGTGATGGATAATTCTCCCTCTCCTCTTCAGATTTAAAGCTGCAGTAGTTGATAACATCCTTACAGTTGGGCTTGGCATTTGAGAACATTGGAAGCCAGCACAGCTATGGGTTTCAAGTTCCTACAGAGCTTGTCTGAGACCCAGGATTGGGAGTCTTGTTAGAATAAAGTTATAAGCTTGAGCAGCATAAGTCTGGCAGGCTGCTCCCTGCCCAGCATGGGCCTAGTGGACATGACCCTTGCCTCCCTGCCAGCTCCAGACATGGAGCTTTTTTTTGGGGGGGGGGGGGAGCAGGGACTTGTTTTAATTGTAGGCAATGTATCTGCTGCCCATTTCCCAAATGGCTAGCTACATCTTACTTTCCTGCTTGGTCCCGCAGAGGTAAATAGATATACTGTATACAAAGAAGAACTTACTATTTTCCCTCCTCCCTCCTCCCTCAACCCCTCCCACAGATTTCATTCCCGACACTGGCAAGTGAAATAATGGCGCACAGAATATGTGTCCATGTGGCTCCATTTCATTTTTTTCTAGTGATGATCCCTTCTTCAGAGATATACGCAAGTAAACCAGCTGTCAGCTTTTGCTTGATGGCAGCAATTCTCTCCAATAGGTGGCCAATTCACTATCAATTTGGAAGCGAAAAAGAGCCATCCAAAAGTAGTAGTTTCTACATAGGTGTTAAATATGTAGAAGAATATACCTTTGCAGATACTTAAAAAAGTCTTACAGGGACCTGTAAACTTCTTCCAGCATATCCAGGAAGGGGAAAGAAGGTTAGTCAAGAGGACATTTAGAATAGAAAAATTGTCTCCTAACAACTCTTAGTAAGTATTCAAGGGAAGGGACTTGAACCTATGGTTGAGGATGGATGCATGCCATGAGGTTTAAACAACAACAACATTTCACCACCACCACTAACTACATTTCCACCCTGCACTATACAGGGATGTTTTAGTAGGAATGAAAGGGGGGGGGGAGATAACCCCCCCTTCCTCAATCTCCAGTGCCTCCCCCCAACTCTTCTGGATTACAGCTATTAAATACTCTGATTTGCAGGTGGCAGCCCCCAAGTTAAGCTTTTAACACTATAGGATTATGACTAGTGGCTCTTAGGTCTTGTCCAGAGAGTCGTCTGCTATCAGATCACTTTTAGCACATCGGGAGAAGGACTTTCTTTCCCTCCTGAATAATATACATAGGATTTACCAGCTCTTTTTTTCAAGCTGTCTGAAGTCCTGAGCTGGAAAGCTCGTCTTTGGAACTGGCACTACACTGCCAGCAAAAGAGAAATGTTTACACTTGCAACCATTAGTCCTAAAATACACTTCATAAGTATTTTTTTCTGATTTCAATGGTATTTCAAAGTGAGTGTTCTCCAGAGTGCCCGAGTAAACCTGTGAGTTTAAAGGATAGATATACAATTTCTGAAAAGTCTTGAAGCCAGAGTACAATATAATTTTTTTACTCCTGTTGCAAAAAACAGAAATATCTGCAATGCTTAAAGTTTATTTAAGAATATATTATGTAGAACTTAAATTGTTAGTATTAAAGTTAAAAGTCTAAGTATCTGTTTTAAGTATAATGTTAGAGATAATGCTGCAAGCTGCAGTAGCTGTAAGGTACCTAAGAGTTTTGCCACTTGGAGAAATGGGGAAAAAAACCTTTGATCAATTAGGGATGCTTTAATTAATTAACATTTATCTAACCTGTCCTTCATCAAAATCAATGTTATGCAACTTAAAACCATAAATATATAAAGTTCTGTACTCAATTTAAGTGCTGAAAGCACTTGCTACCTGCAGTTTTATCTTAGAGGCATTTGACCTTCAGGAATGTGCCTTCCAAAATAGTAGCTACAGCAACATGTGCATACTAAAAACATAGTATGTTTTTCTCTAGAAATATTATCATATGCAAATCTATACAGATTCAAAACTTGAGATTTTCTGTTTAGTTCTTTGTTTGAACTATATGATGCTAAAGGGAGCACTTAATTCATCAAAGCCGTTCATATTCATTTGTTAGTTCAGTCCTGCTTTTCCATTTTTTAAAAAAGCAACCAGTTGAAAACATAATTAAGTTTTCAGATTAAAATGCAGAGTTGGCCATAGGACACCCAAAATGGGTTACGAATAAGACATTATGATTCAAATCCAGGATTGGAAACAGTATCAACGTTATCCAGCCACCTAAGAAGAACCATACTGAATTGGATCAAAGGCCCATCTAGTCCATTGCTCTGTTCTAACAGTGGTTAGCCAGATGCCTGTGAGAAGCACATAAGCAGGATATGAACAGCCGGTGCTTAGAGGCATCCTGCCATTGATCCTAGAGGGCTGTACGTTTCCATCATGACTAGCATCCATTGATAGCCTCCTCCTATATGAATGTGTATACCTGTTGAGTCTATGTGATGTGGTAGACATTGCTACATCTGGTGGTAGCAAATTCTGTGGCTCAGCTATGTGCCATGCGAAGAAGTACTTATTTTGTCATCAGCAAAAGTGTTTACCTTACTGTTCACCCTTAAGTCCAGATCATTTATGGACAAATTTAAAATGCTGGTCACAATACAGGCCTTGAAGGGACCCCGCTTCTTGTATCCCTCCATTGTTATTGCTGCCTTCTACGGCTTGCTTCTACTGCGGGACGCGGGTGGCGCTGTGGGTAAAAGCCTCAGCGCCTAGGGCTTGCCGATCGAAAGGTCGGCGGTTCGAATCCCCGCGGCAGGGTGCGCTCCCGTTGTTCGGTCCCAGCGCCTGCCAACCTAGCAGTTCGAAAGCACCCCTGGGTGCAAGTAGATAAATAGGGACCGCTTACTGGCGGGGAAGGTAAACGGCGTTTCCGTGTGCTGCGCTGGCTCGCCAGATGCAGCTTTGTCACGCTGGCCACGTGACCCGGAAAGTGTCTCCGGACAGCGCTGGCCCCCGGCCTCTTAAGTGAGATGGGCGCACAACCCTAGAGTCTGTCAAGACTGGCCCGTACTGGCAGGGGTACCTTTACCTTTTACTGCTTGCTCCTTAACCAGTTTCTAATCCTGAAGAGAACCTTTTCTCATATCCCAAGATTTTTAAACCTACTCAGGATTCTTTGGTGAAATTCTAAGGATGCAGTGTCTACTGGATCACCCCTATCCACATACTCATTGGCATCTTGGGATTGAGGAGCCCCCACTGATGTCATCTGTTGAAGTGATGAACAGGATTCTTCCACACTCCTTCAGATGTTGGTCCTGATAATTCCTCAACAAGCAAATCCCTTCCACGTTTATGAGTAGATAGGTTCTCTGGTGGGAGACTCCTTAGCCTCCTTGCTCCATGAAGAAGATGAATTTTTTGTCAAGTAAGTACCTGCAGCACTTACTTGACACAAAATTATGGACCCCTTAAAGCATTTGGGCCAACAAAGAGGGGTAGTATCAGCAGTTGGAGCTATGCAGAAAGGCCCCTTTCTCCATGTGAGATAAAGGTGGCTCAAGCAGAACTTGCTCCCTGGTTCTTGGGTCATCAAGCAATCTAGTCAAGCTTGGAATGGAGAAGCATGCAAGGATGTTTCCTGTTCCATCACTCTTAATTTTTGCTTGCAGTGTTCTGATGGGGTTGCCAAAATGAAACCAGGGAAGCTCATTAGTATAACAGTTTTCAAACCAATAAGGTCATATGACAGATCTGTATTCTTAAAGCTTGCTTACTTTTATTTGGACACCCAGTAAGTTCTTGATGGCAAACATTGTACATTGAGCACATTTTTCTACCCTCTGCAGATAATAACAGAATGATGAACCATAGTGTGCATTAAAAGTTAATGCCTACTTTATTATGACTTTGTCAATCAATGGATATGGCCCAATTCAGACAAATCATTTTACTATAAACTTAATATCTGGATAAATGTTAACCTGGGGAAGGTGCAGAGAGAAGAAATGGCATGGTGCATCTGAAACAGCACAACCGGACGCCTTCATCTGCCCCAGCTGCAGCAAGATATGTCTCTCCCATATCAGTCTTTACAGCTACAACAGGCACTGTAACCTTTGAACAGTTTGACTTCATCCCCAAAGGCACACTCCTCCATTGCCTCCCAAGACGGACGGATGCCAACCATATGCTTAAACACATTTTGGTTTAATGTGCTTTATAAATGCTGAGGAAGGCAAGGGCTTACTATTTGAAACACACTGTTTTCCTTGACAAATTTTCATAGACCTGAATTTATCATTTGTCTTTCAGTGCGAGGATGTCGTCCAGGAAAGATTGTGCAGATGACAGAGGCCGAAGTTCGGGGCTTGTGTATAAAATCACGAGAAATCTTTCTTAGCCAGCCCATACTTCTGGAGCTAGAGGCACCGCTGAAGATCTGTGGTATGTGGTGATTAGTGTTGTATACTAAAGAAGCAAAGCTTTTAACCTGCAAAATAATATTTGCCGAATGTTGCTATGTATTCAAAATATGTAAACAGTAAAGAGAAGCAAAACCATTTAACATGAAAAGACAGCCTGCTTACCCTACTAAAATGTGGTAATTTGGTACACTTTTACTACATTGAGTGATTTATATCCTAAATACTCCTGCCAAGTCTTAAGCTAATTCAAAACCTGCTGTACAATGAAATACTGTATTTAATATATAGTAAATACTAATCTTGGGTTTAATTTAGTTCCTATATTATTAAAGTAATTTAGGAGACAAGACTTAAGTGCTAAAACACTTCATATTTTCACAGTTATTTTTCAGCCTACTTGTGCATTCTTTTTTTGGGTAAGACCCAAAAGGGGAGTGTCTTGCCTTTTGATGTGAAGGTCAAGAATGCTTGCTAAACAACTTTAGGCTTTGGGAGGAATGGCAACATGCCACTGCAGTTGCACTCTGAATGCCTTCGTTTGCCTGAATCAGCATTCAACAGGAAGAGTTCTGCCATCACTAGCTGAGCTTCAGCTCTTTGAGAGGCTAGAAGATTTCAGAGGGACAGTACAGACTAGAAAAGCAAATGCAGTTGCATTTGGGCTTAGTTTAGTTTAAATAGTACTTTATTAGCAGGTTTAAAAGCATTTGAGTGTTTCTAAGTGCATTCAAATGATAGGTTAAAAACAGGTGTTTTTAACCTATCATTTGAATGCACTTAGAAACACTCACAAACTGATTTGTAATTGAAGTATTTTTTACTATTATTTGATATTTTTATCCTACCCTTCCTCCCCAAAAGAGCTCATCAAAATAATAACACAATATAATTAAACATTACAATTAAACTGCTAAAACATTTTTAAAGAATATGTACAATTCCTAGCTCCTAAATGCATTTCAGACCAGTGGTATGTTTGCTGTAGAGATAAGTCCTAGAAAAAGGCGTTGCCATTTATTTTTAAGGCACCAGCATGCTGCTCCTATTTCATTTATTTTAGTTGCTTATGATGCTGTTCTGTGAAGTATAAATCTATTTTTGTATTTCATTTTTTTAATATGTAATGCTTTTTATGTTTAAGAGAACATTTTGTTCTTCTGTTAATTATTCTGTTTTTAATGTGTACTTGGTATTAGATCTTAATTTGCAATATTTTATTTTGTAATGTTTTGGTTGATGCTTTTAAGTTAGATTGTAGAGCACTTAGCGATTTAAAAAATTGGTATAAAAATGATTTTACATAGTAATAAAGCCCTATTCTTTGCAAAATCTTGGTAATATTAAAGCCTGCAATATAGCAATAACTTTTTGTGTGCAGCATGATAAAAACTAGTAGTTAGTATGCAAAGATGTAGAAGCAATAACAGCTGTCCACATGGAGATTACAAGATAGTAGGAAGGCAGTACAATTTCCTGACTGTTAGTAGCGGCATAGGAATGTGTGAGTGGTACTATTATAAAAAGTGTCTACAAGAAGCATATGAAAAATGTAGCATGCCTTGAGGCCAAGAAGGTATCTGTGATTTATTTAAATACTTCAGGTTGTATCCAACTAATTTCTACTTAGAATAGACCCATTGGAATCGATGGTCCTAAATTAGTCAAGTCCATTAATTTCAGTGGGCCTACTCTGAGTAGGCTATCCTTGGATACAACCGTTAAACTTCTTAAAGAGTGCAACAGTATAAAAGCGTCCATTTTCAAGGTGAAAAGTAAACTAGGAGAATGCTTGCCACCACCCAAAAAATGTGGCAGCAAGCCTGTTAAATGGTACATCTTTAATAACTGTATTGCACTGATCCTATAGGATCTGAACTGGCTTCCTGTACACAACTGGTTGGATTTCAGAGTGTTAATAATATCTTGCACAACCCTAAAAGCTTGGTGCGAGGGTATGTGAGAGAATGTTTTCCCCATTTTGTCCTGACTGATCATTAAAATCTACCTAGAAGTGTGTTTGGTGCCCATCCTCCCTGTCTCCCCTTTGGAAGCTGGTGGGCGGATGTTGGGGAGGGCCTTTTTCACTGCAGCACCTTAGTTATTGAACAGCTTCCCCTCAGAGGCTTGGGAGGTAATAGTGGCGGGGTCTTTTTGATGACCAGTTAAAACCTGACTGTTTGCATAGGTTTTTGGCTCATACTAATTTTAGCTTGCAGTGGGATCTGGTGGTTTACTTCATTGTTGATGGTGATTTTATGATATATTATATTGTATTAAAAGGTTTATGTAATGTATACTCTGCACTAAGAACTTAGAATAGAGGGTGAAAGAGAAATATTTTAATAAGCTTAAATTGTCTCAAATGTTAGTCACATACAGTGGTACCCCGGTTTACAGACGCTTCTGGTTACAGACGCTTCAGGTTACAGACTCCGCTAACCCAGAAATAGTACCTCAGGTTAAGAACTTTGCTTCAGGATGAAAACAGAAATTGCACAGCAGCGGCGCGGTGGCAGCGGGAGGCCCCATTAGCTAAAGTGTTGCTTCAGGTTCAGAACAGTTTCAGGTTCAGAACAGACCTCCAGAACAAATTAAGTTATTAACCCGAGGTACCACTGTACAGAGTAGGCCTATTGAAATTAATGGACATAACGAAGTGGAATTGAGGAGGAAACAACCCCCTTAGTATTTTACCGCCAAAGCAGAGTATATGTTTTGGTTTTTACTACCAACTGTGGATTTTCTTCTAATAATAATTTCTTCTAATAATTGTTTCATAAATATATCTGCAATCTTAATTTTTGTAGGTGACATCCACGGTCAATATACAGATTTGCTTCGATTGTTTGAGTATGGGGGATTTCCACCTGAAGCCAACTATCTATTTCTGGGGGATTATGTGGATAGAGGCAAACAATCCTTGGAAACCATCTGCTTATTACTTGCATATAAAATCAAATATCCAGAGAATTTTTTCCTCCTGAGGGGAAACCATGAGTGTGCTAGTATTAATCGCATCTATGGATTCTATGATGAATGTAAGTAGAGTCTTATATAAACGTTTCTAGTAGTTACCCTTTTTATGACATGCTTTGAAACTTGTAGAAAAATTCACTTAACAATATTGAATTAATACTATTTTATGTTTCTCTTTAAACTTGTGAAATAACCTCTGAATTGCCTTTGCATTCAGCAGTTACTTAAATAAAGATGGCACTCTTTTTGAATGGTCAGACTACCGTATGTAATGTGATTAAATAAATTGCTGCTCTTCTAATCCCACCAGGTAAACGGCGGTTTAATATCAAGCTCTGGAAGACATTTACAGACTGTTTTAATTGCCTGCCTATTGCAGCCATTGTAGATGAGAAGATTTTCTGCTGCCATGGAGGTAAGCAGAACACACCTTTCATAACACTTAAATTACTTGTTTCTTCAAAGTTTGGACAAAAGTCCAACCAATGAGTTTTCTTGTCCCTTACCTCTTAACTAATATCAAATAAAGTGAATTTGGAATGCATTATAATGCCAGCATCTAGAATATAATTGGTTTCCCAGAATCTAGCCAGAGAAATCTTGATGAATGAGCATATACAGCTTGCCAGCAGGGTATAGCAGTTTGATTAATTTTTTATAGTCCTGAAGAAGGCAGAGGTTATAGATTTGAAGTGATGGGTATGTTGACCTCTGGGTCTTTTGACTGATTTTAGTGTTCAGTTTTAAATACTGGTCCTTTATCATTTGGCCTTCCCTCATTCTTCAGGCTCATTACAAAGATTGTGGTGATCTTAGATAGCATTTTCAAGGCAACCGAGCATACATCCAGCATACATCCGTACCTCTTGGCTATCATTAAGGACATCAGCATAGGAAAATAGCCTACAGAGGAATTGATGAAGGATGTGATAAGCCTCAAGGAAGCAAAACTTCCTGCTGAGCAGGAATTTTAAGTTACTTAATTCCATCTCAGGGATTTGCAGCACCCACATGACCACATCACTAAGTGGTCCTGTCCTTCAAGAAGGAAGTGCATTTACTAGCCCAGCTCAACCGTATTGGAGCCTACTATGGGTAGTGCCTATGGTCATCTTCCTGGGTCCTCAGAGGATTCTCAACCATTGGATAGAATGCAACGGCCATCTCTGAAAGTGAAACGGTATCCCTATTTCAGTCTGTTAACCGCAAAAATAGGACCATATCCTCAAGAGATCATGCTTCTATTCTGCTAGGTAGAAAGGTGCATCTCTTTGAGCTAATAATATATTGGTATGAACAATCAGGAAGCCAGCTGGCTCAAAGGGAAATGAACTTTGGAGAGTAAACCATAGCCCAAATTTCATTCAGAGTTTGAGCATTTGGTCTCTGGTCAGGCCTCCACATTTGACCCACCAGGCCATTTTCAGAAAGCCAAACCCACATGAGCATTGGGCAAGGGTGGGATTCTGAAGGAAAAAATCAGGAACTTAAAGGTCCCAGTTGTTCTTGGGATCTAGTATGGCATGCTTCCACTCACCCATCAGCTGTGATGGGCAGATTATCGTGCACCTTCAGCCCCCTCACCCATGGTTCACTTGCTTTGAAATCCCAAGAATCGGGGCTTCAAAGAGAATCTTTAAAGGGAATAGTGACATCAGGTGATAGACAGGTGGGTGGCCTTGCCCACCTATCAACTTTGGTCCACCAGGCATGGGGAAGGTAAAGAACTGGCCCTCTGGCCGCAGGGCCTACAAGACAGAGCTGTTCCACCAGGCCTTTGGTCAGGGCGCAGCCTGACCCCCTCCTCTGGCAATCTGCACAGAATTTTGCTTGATGGTTGCCATTAATTTGATTTTAATTTGATTTAATTAATTTTATAATGAATGTTTTTAGAATGTTGGACTATTTTTATTGTTGTTAGCCGCCCTGAGCCCAGCTTCGGCTGGGGAGGGCGGGATATAAATAAAAAAATTATTATTATTATTATTAAAAGATTCCCAGCCCTTTCTTCCTGAAAAGAGTGCTGATCAAGATGGGATAAATTGTGATATTCTTGGAATAAATTGCTGAAGTGTTGAAGAAGCCAAATTCAGAAGAAATTATCAGGATTCCCATCCTAGAAATAATCACAATGTGGATAAATCGGAACACTCAGCCATTATTGAAGCGCCTCACAAATACTTGGTTTGCTTCCTAATACATTTGCAAAATACATGTGTCACACGGTTGTTTCTATTCTGTCTCTTTTTTTAAAAGTTGTACTAGCTTAAAGTCTTAAAAGAAATTAACCTTTTTAGTTTATGTGTTACAATAATATGGATAGACTGCTTGCAGGGATGTGCCTGATTATGTGCCCTTTGGATCCTTGCCCATTACAGCTGGTGAAATTGAGCCTGGGGGGGGGTTATTTCCTGGTTGTGGGCGACAGCGTCATTATGTAAGGGAGTGGTGCCTGCCACTTTGGTGGTGCAATCATTAGCAGGGGGAAAGCCAGCCTGGTCACTAATACTCTCCATTGGAGGAAAGTGTTTGAGAGGGTCATGCTAGAACGGGGGTCGGCAACCTGCGGCTCCAGAGCCGCATGCGGCTCTTTAAAGCCTTTGCTGCGGCTCCGGGGCGGTGGCGAGGGGAGGAGGCGAGGGGCGGAGGCAAGGAGCGGAGGCATAGGCGCAGACTCCATGGGGCCTGAGGGGGCCCGAGCCCCCTCAAAAATTCGTTTGGGGGGGCTCCGCCCCCCCAATAATCTCGGGCGCCCCTCCAGCATCAATCCCCACGCCCGCGCCGCCAGCCCCCGACGGGCGCCCCCTCCCCGGCTTGCCAGCTCCGCGCGCGCTCCGCCTCGCCTGCCAGCTCGGCTCCCTCCTTCCCTCGTGCAGCTTGTTTTGAAATTCCCCTTCCAGCTCCGCCACGGCTCGCCCGCTCCCTCCGCCCTCGCCGCCGCCTCCTCCTCCTCCCCCAGTCCCCTCCCCTCGGCTGTCCCCGGCACAGGCTGCCTCACGTACGCGGCTGCAGGCAGCCCCTGGAATGGAGTCCCCGCGCGCGGAAGGGAGTGGCGGGCGCGCAAAAGGAGAGAAAGCCGCTGGCGCGCGGAAGGGGCCGGTGGATGGATGGACCGGCGGGCGGCGGAGTCACCTGGCTGGAGGGAGGTGGCGCGCAGCGGAGCTTCCAGGAGCGGCGGCAAGTTACCTGCGCGTCGCCAAGGGTACACCTGCCTGGCAGCCAGCTGGAGGCTGAGGGCCGCGCTATCTAGACTTTTGGCTTTTGGTCTGCAGAAAATGCACCCACACCCAACAGGGTGTGAGAAAGGCCTAAATAGCTTTTTATTATCACTATATGTATGGTTCACTGGGGCCCTGGTTAATTTTGTTTGGCATTTTGTGGCATTGATTATGCTGTCGCGGTTACGTGGAATTCCACGTGGAGTTAGTTGCCTGAAGCCCCTTTTTAAACTTAAGCAGGGGAAAGTTAGGTGAAAGTTTGGTGAATTGCTGCCAAGGAGTGTGGTGGAGTCTCCTACTTTGGAGGTCTTTAAGCAGAGGCTTGACAACCATATCTCAGGAGTGCTCTGATGGTGTTTCCTGCTTGGCAGGGGGTTGGACTCGATGGCCCTTGTGGTCTCTTCCACATATGTATGTGAGCAGGTCTTCTCCAACATGAACTATATTAAAAACAAACACCGATCATGCCTCACAGATGACACCTTGCAAGCCTGTGTGAAAATGAAGGTGACGTCTTACAGCCCTGATGTGCAGACACTGAGCACTGAGGTTCAGGAGCAAAAGTCCCATTAACCTGGTTACCTGGTTGTAAATTAAATATTTTAATTAGCTATTAATTTGTCCTTTTTTCTTGAGATTGACAGCTGACTGCACGATCCTGTATATATAGCATTAAGGCAAGAAACAATATATGCAGTGTTATATTTGTTTTAAATGTTGCAATGTTTTTGCGGCTCCCAGTTGTTGTTGTTTTTTCGGAAACGGGTCCAAGTGGCTCTTTTTGTCTTAAAGGTTGCAGACCCCTGTGCTAGAACAACTACAGATACTTTTGAATAAGACTGATTTATCTGGATCGATACTAGTCTAGATTCAGAAACAAATTAGTATTAGACATCATGATGACCTTTATGGCAATAGGAGCAGTGGAAGTGCAAGCCCACTCTTGCTGCTGTATCTCTTAGTGGTCTTTGATATTATTATTATTAGTAGTAGTAGTAGTAATTATGTGTCCTTCACCAGCAGGTCCCAGGGCAGGTTAAAGTAGTTATATTATTAAAATAGTTATTTACTCCTGCCCTGTGGAACTCCTTGCCAATAGAAGTTCAGCAGGAGTCACCCCTGCTTGCTTTCACATATCTTTTGAATACACTGTTGTTCAGACAGGCCTTCGTAACATGACTCTTGCTACCAGCCAGTTTTCATTGATATGTTGATGTTTTTGCTGTTATTGTAATGTTGTGTTTTTATGTTTGCACACTGCCTATGAAAGTGTAGTTTGTAAATATTTCACAAACTTGGCTCAGATATTTTCTCCTTCATAGTTTAAGCTGCAGAACCACCCCTTAAAATAATTGGTTTAGTAAACTTTTGCAGCTTGGTATAGAATAAAAATAATTTTGTAACCTATATTGACAGAGGGAAATATCCAAGTAGAAGTCACCATTGAGGGAGGTGTCTCAGTATGCCTGCTACTTGAATTCAATTCTTTTTAGTGAAATAGGTATCTTGTCCTCAGATGTAAATTATTTTGCATTTGTTTAACAACGAAATTATTCCAAGTAAGGATCACTTAATTTTAAATTAAAGTTTCTTCATTATGAAGAATAAGTGTTCCTTAGGCATCTTGTACACCTTGAGCAATTTTATAAAAAGAAACAAACCCCACAGTCATGAAATGGAGAGCTCTTAATGCTTCCAATAAAGAATGGATGTTTTGTGCAGTTTATTCTTAAATGTTTAGAACACAGTTGCATGCTCTCTGTTAGCTATTTTTTGTGATAAAAAATAGTTTTATATCCATTTGCAAAATCTTAGAGATGGACCTGTCTCAGTGTAATAGCTATTGAGCCATGAGGTGGGGTATGAGCATAAAAAAATCAAATGGATATGGCTACCAATTGGATGGCATTACATTGGAAAATAAAGGAATCTATTGTCTAAATTCTTTTCATTGACATCTTCTATGAACAATGAAAATGAGTTTTCTCATTCATGTTGTCAGGACTGTCACCAGATCTGCAATCGATGGAACAGATTCGAAGAATTATGAGACCCACAGATGTTCCTGACACAGGTAAGGCCCACCTGCACAAATTGCTGCTCATTGTAAATAATTTTAAAATTGTATTGTGGCATATATCAGTAGTGCGTTCAAAGAGGTAGTGAAACTTCCCATCTGAAGGGTTTTGAGGAGCGCTATTATACTTGTGCTGCTTGGAAGCTAAAACTCCTTGTTTTCATCATTTGAGGTACAAATTGAAAAGAGCCATGTGGAAGTTACCTAGTTTTGAACATAAGGGATTAGATCCAGACTTATTTGCACTATTATTCCCTTGATTTCACCCAAACCTATATTAAATTGATTTTTGGATGCTGAAGAAGGTAGAGGGTGTGGGTGGGTGTGGGTGTGTAATAGAGAAGCAGCATAGCTTGTTAATTAGAACTTTTAAGTTCTCTCTTTTTAAATCCATATTGCATTCTAGAGTGTGACTTGAAGCAATTTGGTTGTAAGACAGTAGTTGTAGGTAGTAGCCTTGGAAACTAAACTTAGTGAAGTAAAAATAAACATGTGTATCTGTATAGTACTTTATAGAAGCAGAGATTCAAATAGAGGATTTCCTAATTTTAAGTTAAACCTGAGTCCCTATGCAAGGTGGCTGAAATTTTGGCATATAGGAAAACCTTTGTCTTCTGCTGCATCTCTAATGCTACTCCAGCATTAAACAGGAAACAGTAATTTTTGGAGAGCGAGGTTCATACTGAATCCATCAACATGAGGCATGCCTGAGCTACGATTTCAAGATTTTTTGGATCTATGGACATTCATTGATTTGTTTTCATTCTAAACAACTTGATTTTTCTTGCTGGAAGAAAGTTAAAGATACTGGCTCAGTTTGCACATCATATAAAGCCATAGTTTAAAACAAGCTATGGTTTAATGTGATGTGCACATCAGACCACAGACCATAGAAAAAGTTTGCACTGTTGTCTCCAGTAGGAGTACATTGCAAATCTATAACTGTTACACTTGTACAGCCTCATGTGTACAAAGTATGCATACCAAAATCTCAATCATGAGAGGTAAATATTTTGTACCAAAAAGAACACATTAGGGTCCTGTTTGAGACTTGTGCTCTTACTTTCAAGGCTTGCTCTGTGACCTGCTGTGGTCTGATCCAGACAAGGATGTGCAGGGCTGGGGTGAAAATGATCGTGGTGTCTCCTTCACTTTTGGAGCTGATGTGGTCAGCAAGTTCTTGAATCGTCATGATTTGGATTTGATTTGTCGAGCTCATCAGGTATGAATTTGCTTCTTTCTAATTTGGGATCTTTACCTTATAGTTTCCAGGGCTCTATGTCATTTACAAATACAAATATGGTGACAAGTAGGTGAGCTAGTGCAGATCAGGCTACAAATTTAGCTATATATAGTCTTTAGAACTGCCCTGTTATCTACCGGTATAGGGCAGTATACAGATTTAATAAATAATCTTAAATAATATTGAACACAAAGCTGCCCGAGCTGTCACATCCTCTCTGCACACATATTTCTGGATTTTGAGTCCTTTGTTTCAAAAATGTTGCAGAAAAACTGGAGGTCTTTCTGTAACTAGTCTACAGCACAAAGAATAATTTGCTTAAACTTGTTTGTATTCTGTACCTTCTGATTTCTGTACTTCAAATTACCTTTTTTAACCTACTTCAAATTAGTTTCCTTCCCACCATGGAACAGGCTTTCATTGGTGCAATTTACCTTGGTGCTCCTCTTGGAGCCCTCCATAGGCCCCTAAAATTGCTTTTGGGGAGGCAGTGGGGAGCTGAGAAGAAAGAGAATTCCCATTGTGTTTGGAGAAGCCAACTTGCATGATAATGGATCTTGCGTGGAATCTTAAGTTGTGTTGCATTCATTTTGCTATGTGTTCTCTGAAAACTCTTAGACTGCAGGTTATGGGATAAACATTTTGGCTCAGATTACAGAAATATTTTAAGTTACATCAATATTGGTTATGTGTTTTTCTCACTGACAGGTAGTTGAAGATGGCTATGAATTCTTTGCTAAACGACAGCTGGTTACCCTATTTTCTGCTCCTAATTACTGTGGAGAATTTGACAATGCTGGTGGCATGATGAGTGTGGATGAAACTTTGATGTGCTCTTTTCAGGTATGATAAACATGGATTATAACCTCTATATTGAGAGGATAGGTCAGAAAGTTACTATTATTGTACGGCTTGAATAAAACTAGAGTTAGCCGGGGCAACCCAGCCAATTAAGTGAGGTATAAATAATAAAATTATTTATTTATTTATTATTGAACTTTTAAGGTGCACTGTTGCTTGTATCTCCCTTGTTGAAGGCTAGCATTCTCAGCAAATGTTACGATCTTCCTTTAGTTCAAAACTAATTTTCTAATACCTCATTGTCATAGTATTACTAAGCTAAGGTGAATATTTGCCTAAATAAAATGGGAACAAGCCACTCTGTTGATGGAGTCTCTTGAAAAATAATAAATAAAATGGAATACTCTGAACTGGCTAGGGGTGTCTGGTTCTCTGAGACTGCCTTAGGCGGAGTCAGACCATTGGTTCATCTAGCCCAGTATTTTCTACTGCAGCTGGTTAAAGTCTTTCCTAGATCTTTTAACTGGAAGTTGCTGGGGATTACTGTATTTACGCAAATCTAATGTGCCATCAAATCTAATGTGCACCCTAATTTTTGTGAACGTTATTTGGCCAAGGAAGGTGCGCATTACATTTGAGTAAATATGGGACCATCTGTATGCAAAGTACTATGCTCTGACAGTTTGCTATCATCCCTACCTGGTTAGATGAGTCCACAGAATGGGTAGCCCTAGCTGTTAAATAATTCTTTTTGTACTTTGCAAATGCATATTCAACAGTTGTTTTAAATAGGAAGCCACCTCAAATGTAGACAGCAAGTTATACATTCATTGTAAGGCTGGTTTAATGGATATGTTGTGTTGGTTTGAAGAGAAGTTTATTCATCTTCTTAATTCATCCTCTTAAGATTCTGAAACCATCTGAGAAGAAAGCAAAGTACCAGTATGGTGGACTGAACTCTGGACGTCCCGTCACTCCACCTCGCACAGCTAATCCTCCGAAGAAGAGGTGAAGAAAGGAATATCATAGAAAACCCATCAGATCTATTAAGGACAAAACTCCATATATACAGTATATAATAAGTGTGCACTGTAAAACCATCCAGCCATTTGACACCCTTTATGATGTCACATCTTTAACTTAAAGAGACGGGTAAAGGATCTTTAATATTTTCTAGTTGACAGATGTGCAACACTGTATTGTAACAAGTATACTCCAAGCTCTAATAACCAACATAGAGTAAAATCAAATCTAAACAAATTATTTTGGTTGCATATTCACATCACAGTTTTAAAGTTGACCAACATCCCAATTTAAGCTTGATGTAATAGTTAAATCAGATGAGAGCATGATGTTTCATTTGTGTAATGTGGTCTTACTGTTGCTTGATTGCTTTTATTTCTCTTATTTTGTAGCTAGAATGATGGCAAAGTATCTAGTCATGTTTCCTGGCTGAAAATGATTTGTGGAAGGGATTTTTGGGGCAGCTCCTGTTCTCCCTCTTCCCAGTATTCTTGCTAACTAAATGTGTGCCCCTATAATAGGAGTTTAAAGACACAAACCAATCTCAAGCTCGTGACTTCGGTAATGCTCCTTATCCAGACAACCCAACAGTCAGTATTTCTCATGACAAAAAACTTATTACTTTTTATCTTAGATTGCCACAGGATGACTTTGTTCATTGCACCATTTTAAACTAACATTACACTCACAATGACACTTCATTTAACTTAAATAGGGCAAGAATGGTATTACTTATTAGTCGATAACTTGATTATGTGGTACCTTGCATTAGATTTTATTAGCATGAAACACCTTTTGGCATGCTTAGCTTCCTGATAATGTCATATTTGCATTAAAGTGCATTCTGCATAGCTCACCAAACATGAAGATCCTTCTCTGATATGCCTGGAAAAGCTAGCTCTCTTCTTCCTCTCCTCTTCCCCGCCCAACTGTGCACTCTGCCCCACCCTCCAGGAGGGTATATTTAAATGGATGTTGATCATTGAGCAGTAGGTTAACTATGGCTAGTGGTGGTTGGACTGTCTAATATTGCCATGTGAATGTTCTACATGATTGTAAGGCTTATGTCACTAAAGATTTATATCCTCTGGATTTTCATGACCAAGGTTCATATACTATTGTAGAAACTTCTGCTTTGTAGTGTACTATAGTAGCAATAATTTCTGTACATGATCAAGAGTTGATGCAGTATTTCTTTTTCTGTTTTCCTTAAAGGGTTCATATTGGCAAATGGCAAAGTGTAAAGAAATGTGCAAAGATTGTAAATGGATAAAAATTGAAAGGCAGCGACTTGATTGGATATTAATACAATGTTTTTTATTGAACACAGTCAAATTTATAAGATTACTTAGTAGGGAAGCTTCCAATTTAAATTATTCTAAATGTGCAACAATGTAGAACTCTTTAATATTGTCTTTGCAAATGTTAAATCGAGAATTCTAGCAACTTGCATTTAATGAACTGACACGTATTATGCAAGGGATTTCTGGCAAAGTGAAAAGTTCTTACATGGATTTAAGTCTCTTTTCTAATTCCATTTTGTTTTAAAACACATATTAAATGTAGGATTTTTCATTTAGTAAAGTTGTTTAATTGATTTGAAGTCTGACTGGTTATTCCAATCTTTGTTATGAAATAATTTGCCCTTGATGGCATACATTATGAGATGCAGACAAAAGCTTAATATTGACACTAATATAGATTTATGTTGGTGGATATTTAAAAATACAGCAGCTCTGTAAACGTCACCTGTAGATCAATGGATAACCAACCATTGTTGCTCCCTAGCACTGTGGTGTCTACCTTGTTATCTGACGATGAAATGATGAACTTCTTGGGTCATTACTGTATGAAAAAAAATCACCTCAAAGAAGGTAAATGGAATGTGACAAGATGGAAGCAAAGCTTTGGCATATCCAGCTCTCTCTCTCTCTCTCTTTTGTAAAGTGGGTAACTTTTTCATTTTTACACTGTAAAAGCACCTTCATTTCAGATAATATAAAGGGGCCCAAAATGTGTTTAAGGGCAGTTGTTTAATATGTATAACTGGGTTTAACAAATTATTTTGGGAAATTGCTTTTACAACATTGCCCATGTATGCAGGCGTGCATGTGAAGCCATCTTGAAAGACAGAAACATTTACTTGCGCTATAATTTGTATTCTTTTTCTGTCCTCCACCTCACTTGTCACTACTTAACGTCTGATAACATACTGCAAATTTTAAAATACCAATGAAACCAACAAAGAATGTAATGGCTAAAACCACTAGTTATAATAATTACCTGTAAACAACTTTTCTGGAAGCGTATTCTTTGAAGCTACTTAAGACTGCTCATGATCAGTTTTTAGATCCTGCCCATGAATACAAATGCTGGTCTCTGTAGGCTTGAGGGTGAGCTCTAGTCCTTACTAACAGATGCCACCGGGGAATCAAGTGAGATGTGTCATTTTCTTGGCTTTGCGATTTGTGTTAAATATTTTGGCCAAGGGTGTGTAGCCTTTCTGTGTAACCAGAATGGAACTAGTGATGTATTTCAGCATGGTTCTAACTATTACTTTACTGTCCTCTCCCCTTTTTCTCTTTCCTTAATAAAAGGAAACAGACACCTTTTATTGCCCCCCTTAAAGCTTCTATGTCTTTTTTTTTTGTAGCATTCTCCTATAATTTACTTGTAAGTAACCTTTATTTACCGTAGTAACATTTCGTTCCTACCATTGTTCCATCAGAATGTGTCATGTAAGCAGCTTATTCAAAGACAACCTTGTGCAAATGAGTCTAGGCTGCCAGATTCCTAAATAAAATTAGTTCACATGATAGTTTTTGATCAAATTTTACAACTGACCTGCTTTTTTCACATGTGTGACTGCACATAAATTGTTTGAAACCCATCGTGTGGATGCAAAACATGACATCTGAGTTGGTTGTGTCTTGCTGGCTTGGAAGGAAATTTGAGTTTTAGGAATAAACTTTACTAAACCTCTTGATTCTGTATTCAAGTCTTGTTTTGCACACTGTAGCTGACTCAATCTCAGACCACCACATTATTTTGTAGACTGTTTCCCCAAACAGTCATGTTCCCCAAATGGTTGCATGTACCATTTAAATCCATTATAGATTTCATGTTTCAAAACTGAAGGTTTCAATGCTGTTGATTTCATTAGGACTTCGTTGAGACATATTAAAACCATTTGAAGTGTCTGGGGATGTGGAGAAGAGTTACATAATGAAATGAGGGCAGGGACCCCGTGTCATCATTTAGGAGGAGATACAAAAGTGCAACAGAATCTTAAAGAGATGTGCAAATGGTACTGTTGCTCTAGAAACTTGCAAGATGGTGCTAATGAAAAGAAATTATGTGTAGAAGTGTTTCTACCCTGGAGATGAAAAATCCCTCTTGGAACCAAAACAACAAACATACATGAAAAAAGAGCCCCCTAATTTAGGAAATTGTAGGACTTTTTTACAGATTGATATTGAGGTCCCCATTTGTGTATTGATAAAAATCTGTTGGAACATTTCATTTTTTATTTCCTTTCGAACAGTACTAATGGATGAACTGTAACTGGTTGTCGTTTGAGGTCATAAAATTTACTTGATTATGCTGGGGAATCTTTTATGTAGCATCATCATGGTACATGGCCTTGGTTGCATTTAGCTAATCTACTTTCAGCTCTCTCTATGGAGCTAGTGGAAAAATCAATATGTTGCTCAAAGGTTTAACAAATTCTGTGACCAACCAGTTGAATGCTGTAATTTGTCTAAATTATGCAAATTTGCTTGCATAATTTTAAGTGCTTTCTTGTTTTGCACAGTCTTGCTTTTGCTTGTCAACACCTCTTCCTCTCCTTTTCTTTTCTCCACTGGCCTCCTGTTAGGTATCTGTTTTCAGCCTTCTGTTATTCTCTTGCTACATACTGTAGCTGGGTGACCTTATCAGATCCCATGGCTTTAATGCCATTTATATGTTGATGACAACCAGCCCTACCTCTCTATTACCAGAACATATTCCTTTCTTCAATCTCGCATGTACCTGATATTTCTGTCCTGCCTAATCAGATCCAGCATCCTGTTTTTCACAGAGGCCAACCACATGTCTTCATGCTCTGCTTTTAGGCTTTTCTAAAAGCAACAGTCTTCTGCTGTATCAGGTTATAAGCCATTGCTTCCAGTCTGCATGGCCTATGAGCTTAAATGATGCGAGTTATGCTCAGCATCTGGAGGCCATAATGTTGGCTACTCCAGTTCTATAAAATTGTCTTGATGAATAGACCACACACCATGAATTGGTCTAACTTCCTTTTAAAGGTATCTAAGCTAGAGGCCATCATAGTATCTTGTACCTATAAAGTTTGGTTTGGTTTGGTTGAAGTATTTCTTACAAGTTGTGAAACTAATGCCAATTACTGACATTGGGTGACCCAACACTTCTACACATGAAGCATAATTTGATAAACATGCTATGACTTCTTTTGTAAACCACCCTGAAATCTGCAGATGAAGGACTGTATACAAATTTAACAAATTATATATATATATATATATATATATATATATAAATTTCTTTATTGAAAAATAAAAAGTACAAAATTACAAGTGCACAGAATAAGACACATAGTACCCATGTAGAAAACAAAACACAAAAAAGACATTGTGTACATTGTAAAAATGGGGGTGGGGCTTGTAGTTAACCAGACCTTCATCTAATATGGTATTTATAAAAATAATTCCAAATATCTTTAAATTTGTCTATTGCAAGTCTATGTTTGTACACAACTCATTCATGCGTAGTGAGTATGTACGTATCTCCAATCATTTTTTATTTTTCCAGTTCATCAATACCAGTCATCATCATCAATCATCATCATCATTACTAAATGAAGAAAAACAAAACAAAATGCTGTGGCCTTTCCACTGCCTTCTCTCCCTTGTTTTACTGTCAAATTCTGATACATTGCTGCCTATGATTTTCTTCTAACTCTGCCACCTTCAGATGTCATCCTTTAAACAATTGAATTACTGCTGCCATTTAAAACTTAAACTCCTCCTTTAGAACGACTGCTTAGTGGTGACTGCATCTTCAAATCCCTTCTCAAACCGACTGCTTCTAAGGTTTTTAAGTCAAAGGCTGTATAGATCTCATTCCCCTAATTCAGAGGTTTTCAACCTTTTTGGGTCTACGGCTCCCTTGACCAATTACATTCTTTCTGCGGCTCCCCTGAGGGGCTCAGGAGTCCAGTTATGTCACCTGTAGAGCTGGTAGCCCCTCACACCTTTTCGAACACCCTCCCTTGCGTAGTGTTCCCTCAGCCTCCTCTCCTTCTTGGGAGTCCTCTGGGCAGCTGTAGCTGCCATTCCTGGTCTCTGAGCTGCCCCCCTTGACCCAAAGAGAGGTGCTTCCTCACACTGCCCCACTCCCTGGCCAGCCCCAGAGGCACCATTCTCCTGGGGGAGCCTGTAGCTAGGGCTGCTACAACAAACAGCTGTGCAAGCCTTTGGGAGGCAGAAATGTAAGGGCATCCAAGGAGGGAGGGAAGGAAAGAGGGACAGAGGCCAGTGTTCTCCACAGCACCCCTGACCATCATTCAAGACACCCTAGGGTGCCATGGCACACTGGTTGAAAACCACTGCCCTAATGAAACAGTCACACTCTTCCTGAAAGCCTTGTCCTGATTTTTCCTTGCATCAAAATTTTGATTGTTCGCCTCTCAAGGCAGAGACTGGTGCTATTAGAATAACAAACTTAAAGCCTGCTACATGGACCCCTGACATAGGTATAATTTTACTATGCCTTCATTTTGAAACTTGTCTTCAAGTGGGAGAAACATGAGCCAGACCTATATATGCGGAGTATACTGGGGGAGGCAGGCACCCACTGTTCCTTTAGGAATCATGCTATTTAAATATTAACACTTTTCGTAAGAAGGGATTTTCTGCATTCTAATAATTAGCTACCAAGTTCCACCCATCTCACCCTGGAAAGCATTTCCACCGCTAGGGTGCTATGTAAAGACCAGCTCCTTCAGTAGTGTTATAAAAGTACCTCTTCAAGTTTTCTGAGCTGAGTCAATTTTTAATGTTCCTAACCACAGACAGCCAGATTGTCTTAGATTGACTGTTAAAACCTGCTCAGTTTTGAACAGGAGTTGTAGCCATGTTGGCTTCATCCAGGGGGCAGGGGCTGATTCCAAGTTAAGACTTGTGCAAAAGAAACCCTATTAAGCTATTAGGTACATCACCATTTACTTTTCTCTTTAACCTGCTACTGAGTTAGTGCAAGTAACAGTGTAGTCCAGGCATGGCCAAACTTGGCCCTCCAGATGTTTGGGGACTACAACTCCCATCATCCCTATCTAACAAGCCCAGTGGTCAGGGATGATGGGAATTGTAGTCCCAAAACATCTGGAGGGCCAAGTTTGGCTATGCCTGGTGTAGTCCTTTCTGCTTCTACTCAGGTGCTCCATGTATGTAAGGTTGCAACACCTGAGATATATAAGAGGGCTCAGTCCATCCCTGTTGCAGTGCATGTTGAGAACTACAGGATTGGAAGAAATGGCCAAAGTGCACCAGGAAAGGAATGATGGTGGTGCTCTACTGGAAACCTGGGTTGACAACAAAGAATCGTGTGCTTGGGGTCAGACTGCCCTTTTTAAAAGATTCTGCCCCACAATGTTCTTCCAACACTTGACTTGCCAGTTTGCTTCTGGCATGAAAAGCTGATTAAGGGTTGTCTTGTCCTTGTGTTGGTTAGATGCACTTGAAAATTGTGATGGAATAAGCATTCTAAAGCTTCGGTGAACCATAGGGACACGTTCCTATCCTGCATCTACAACTTGGAAGAAAGGTGGGAGCTAGTCCCTTTGATTGTGCTGAGCCTTGAAGGTGCTTCTCCCTGTGCTTCTTATTACCCCCAGAGCTTAGCAAGATGTCAGACAAGAGCCTTCCTTTTCCTGATCAGGGTCAGAGACAACTACATGCTTTGACAGTGCTAAGGCCAGACAAAAACTGAGGACCTCTGTTCTTTGCAGAACTAAGTGTACACCAGCAGCGGTACTTGGTAATAAATATTTCCAAGATACTGTATCTCATGGCTAAAAATATGGGCAAAGATCCAAGGAGCTCCATGCAAGTACACCAAATATATTTTGCTTCCGGCTGTATGCTGTATCTGATGCCAGTTAGAAATGTTTAAGGGTTTTTGGTCAAAGGCCTTGGCAAAATGTGCAATGCAGAAAAAAAATTCAAAATATGAAGTTGTCCTGTGGGCAATTAAAAGGTGTCTCTAAAGAAATAAATATCTTTTCATTGTTTTCTTAGCAGTAGTAATAAAGAGCTACACACTAAGTCATATAATTATCCATATCTATTAGCAACTCAAAGGTGGTGCTGTGGGTTAAACCACAGAGCATAGGGCTTGCCGATCAGAAGGTCAGCGGTTTGAATCCCTGCGACGGGGTGAGCTCCCGTTGTTCGGTCCCTGCTCCTGCCAACCTAGCAGTTCGAAAGCACATCAAAGTGCAAGTAGATAAATAGGTACCACTCCAGCGGGAAGGTAAACGGCGTTTCCGTGTACTGCTCTGCTTCGCCAGAAGCAGCTTAGTCATGCTGGCCACATACGCC